TGCTGCATTGTCTGTTGTTCACCCGCCTGGTCCCGGAAATCTACGGCCACAGCCACCTGAAGAGGATCCAAGAAAAAAAGTTAAAGGAAGTTGTAGTCAGACATAAGTCGAGTTTTTTTAGGTCAAACTACAATTTTCCCTGAATGGAAAGATACTAAGTTTGGGGGTTTATTTGTTTATTCTCATAAATGCCATTTACCACAAAACTTTACATGCATTACATTTGCAGGTAACTGTATTTCCCAAAAGATGTTGGCATTTCTTGGAACTAATTAAACCGTACTTTCCCAGAAACAGCATTTTGCTCACTCCCATCACTGTAGTTTTGTAACCTGACATAAAACTCAAAAGAAAATCTACCTCAAGGATACGATAACCTATATTTGAAAACCCCATAACACAGCTCAACTGCAGACCTTGAAACTATTCCGGTACTAGTATAGGTCATGACCAGATCAAATTAAACTGTACAAAGTCAAATGCAGCTTTTATCTCAAGAAAAGATGGTGATACAAATAACTAAACTATACAACACTTCACATTATTGAGTAAATTGAAAAATAACAGCTTACTTGTTCCACGAAATGCGCAACACGGGTTTGAGCACTCAAAAACCGTTGAATAAAAGCATTGATGGCCTTGGACTGTCCAGGAGCCGTCATCCCTGCAAAGAAATGATTTCTCAAGTATGGTAGAGCCCACATTGGTCGTAAGGCGTATAAGTTGGCTATGTGCCTGTTCGTGTGCAGATCAAAGGCGTTCACCATGTCCCGCCAGCCCAATTCAAAATCTTCACTTGTCTCCAGATTATATAGTCGGTAAAACTCGGCCTTCCACTCGTTGTAGCGTTCTCCAAGGACAGCATTGAACCATGAAGGGAATTTGGCCACAATAAGCCATATGCAAAGTGCATGTTTTGTGGCGGGCATCTCTATTCCTATTGCTTCTTTCAGGCACATATTTTGGTCCGTCAATATTGTCTGCGGGGATTTCCCATTCATAAATCCTAAGAAAGCCTTGTATATATTTATAATTTTTAAAAAGGCGAAAGAGGGAAAAAAAAGAAAGAAAGTTAGCTAAAATGTGTAGCTTGTGAAATAATCAAGAGATACAGATCTGCATTGGACAGTAACAAATCCATAATCATTTCATGCAATGACATGATTAAATTCAAGTTCACGATAACAAATCCATTTAAGTATATAGGATGCATTTCATAAATTGTGAGTTTTTCTGCTAATTTTTGGTGCAATCATTTTCTAAATTAAAATAGTGCACAACAACAAAACATTCTCCCATCGCATTTTTTATTTTCTATTTTCCGTTTTTACCTTCAGAGCCCAAGAAAACGATCTGAGGTTCTCCTCATGTAGTAGCACACAGCCGAAGAAGCAGGGCATCCCGTAATTGTTCACCCCGACCCATATCCCAAGAGGCATGTCGAAAGCCGTCAGCCTGTGAGTCGTGTCAAACACCACAGCATCCCCAAAAACCTCGTAAGACTGGACAGACGAGGCATACGACCACGCAATGTTCTCCAACCTCCCACTGCAATCTACCGTGTAATCAAATCTGAAATTGGGATCTCTATCCTTAATATTCCTACACATCCTGAGCAAATCCACACCATCGTCCTCCAGCTCTACCTTCCTAAGAGACTGAAGCAAATTCCTCACATCCTTCTCGGTGAAGGGCAGGTACCCGGGCTCCACACACTTCTCAAGCTCCAGAAGCCTCATCATCTGCTGCACGGAGATCCCAGTCTTGGCGAACATGAGAATTCGGTTCTTGTCAGACTCTGATATTGTCCGGTATGCAGGCAAGAAACGGACTTGGTGCATCTCCAGAAGCTCGTGATTGTGGTGGTTCGCGAAGCCTGTGATTCTCCACTCGGGAACTCCCATCTCGGCAGACTTGCTTATCCGCATGTACGCCTGGCACCCGCACCGGGAAGACTTTCTATTCCTTTGGGCCTTCTTCTCGCTCGGAGCCTTGGCGGGCGTATTGCCGGCACGGTGGCACACGAAGTAGCGTCTCATTAGGCCTTTTCCGATACCATCCTTGCCTTCCGTGCGGTGGCGCCTAATGGAGAAACCACACCGCCTGGCGAACTCA